CTGGGATTCCTACTTAAGCAATTTTAGAAAGTAGCTGCATTTGAAATCTCTGCTCCACTTAAAAAGGTAAAAGAGTATTTGCTTGGTGCTTCCTTTTAATCTCTCTGGCTTCCCTTCCCTTTAAAAAAAAATTTGCAGCTAGCATTTTATTGATTGAGACAGCAGATACAATAGGTTTAGAACCATGGATACTTTGAAAAATCCAAGTTCCAAGGCTTTTGTGCTTAGTTATCAAGTCGTGGCCACTTCCCATCAACCATCAGCAGACCAGCTTTTTGTGGTTACGGTGCTCTACACTTGGACAACCTAGTAGTGCAGGTAGCGGTGGATGGTGTAGGGTGACAAAACTATCCCAATTTTAGCAAATTCCTGCTCCAGGAAACTGTGGTCCCAGGCAAACAGAAAACTGGGATGTTGGTGGTTTGTAGCAGTTGAGGGAGGATGGGAGACCACTTAGAGATGAGAGGTAGAAAGTAGAAAGTATCAATACTTTGGAGCGATGTATATCTGCATTTGAATCCTGGCTCTACCACCACCAACCATCACTTCACCTCTCTGGTCCTGTGGAGAACTCTGGGAAAACAGAGAATTTTCTGTTATAGCCATGCGCTTGGCTTCTGTCTTGCTATTTATCAGCCCCTTCATGTGTTTACTCACCAAAAGCAGAGAATGAGGTCTGTGTGCTGGAACAGACCTGGGTGCTAGAGATGCAAACTGAAGGCTCACAGTTCTGCTGTCTCCGAGCCCAGAGCTCAGCGCCATCTGTGTCCCTGCAGCCATAGTGGAGTCTTTTCAGTAGCAATCCTGCAGGACTTTCTGCCTGGATGGTCCACATTCATCGCTCTTGTAACGCAAGAACAGCCTTTCTTCCTGGGAGATAGGAGTCTGAGCTCCTTAAAGACAGCCTTTCAGACTAAAAGAATCAGATCTTTCTTGACCCTTCAGATTTTGAAACCTGTTAGTCCTACTCTCTTTAAGTCTCATTTTCCCTATTTGGAGTCCCAACTCTGTCCCTTACTAGCAGTGTAACCTTGAGCAAGTGACAACTGCTTTTCAGGCCTTAATTGTTCTGTAAAATAGGGATAATAGTGATTCCCATCTCATGAGTTGTTAGGTAGATTCAATGCGGTCATTCCTATTGAGCATTTAGCAGAGTGTCTGCCACATAACAATTAACACATTAACAATAAATGGAAAGAATGAAATGATTCCATTTTGTGTGTGTCTCCGAGGGTCTTGGGGCCAGCTCCTCTCTACCCCTTGCCCAGACGCCGAGCACCTCAGACAGAGGAGCCACATCTCATTGTATTTGCCTCCATGTCCACACCCAGCCCCTGCCTGGTAGATAGTAGGTGCTTAATAGTATTGGTTTATGACCTGATGGTGATGACGATATGACTTATATTCCAGGGTTAAAAAGGGTAAGATAAGAAAATACATTTGAAAGCACACTGTAATAAAAAGCATAACACTGGGTATGTGGTTCCACTAAGATGTTTATCGTAGTGCATTGTTCATCACTTGCTCATGTATCTTTTCTGCCCTCTAGTTCGAGTACTTCTGCAATGCAGACTACATCTTATCTCTGAATCCCACTCCAACTCTTGTCCAGTGTCCTACACAGAGTAGATGCTCAGGTAGTTTAATTGAATGCAAATGTCATACAAAAGTAAGGAATTGAGAAATTATTATTAGCGTTGGGAAAGAGGGCTGGTAAATACAGAGCAGTTCTTCTTTCCTTCATGGTGCTACCTTTACACAAGCAGACACTCAAATGTTCCTTTAAAAAAACATGTTCCCAGGGGAATGAGGAAATAGAAGGAGGGCAAAGGAGGAAGGACAGAAATAACAGTTTCATGATCCGAGCACCTGCCCCTAGAAGCTGGCACTTAGGGCACATCTGCACAAGCTCTTGGGTGGAATTAATGTGATCAGCTTAGAGTTTGGGGGTTCCCGCCCTGATTCATTATCAGCTGAAAACTGTTGAAGTGTTTGGCATACCCAAGGTGTATTAGCTGCGGAGTTTTGTCGTCTGGTACAGATTGGGGCTCCTCTCCTATGAATGGGCTGTTGGGGCCAGTGTTTTGAGGCTCTGGGCTTGTCTGGGCAATATGGGAAGGTTAGAAGTATCTAAGTGAGGTCCTTACTCTTCTGACTCCCCAAAGGGTCATCTATCAAAAGTTCCTCTTTTGCATCCTCAGTGGCTCAAAAGAATATGCCAGTGTGTAAGGTCATTGTTACAACAGCTGATGGTGGTACTGAGGAAGGGCCCCTGCAAAGTCATGTTCTGAGATTGGCCCTGTTCTTGGTCTTGGAGGCAAGGCTTGGCTGATGGGCATGCAACATGGGAGAGGTGTTCAGGACAGGTCCAATTTGCTGTGTTCTGGCCCCCAGGCATTTCAGGGGTCACTCCTCTTCACATGGAGCCAAGGCTGGCTTGTTCCCCCTCTCTGGGAGGGTCATACTTAGTGTGAGCACTTAGGTTGGCTCCATTTCCCCAGGGGTGAGGAAGCCAGCAGCAGGAAAGATTGAGCTGCAGCAGGAAAGATTGAGCTGCAGCAGGGAAACCCAAAGGCCAAGTTTTAAGAGTATCTGTTGGGGATGCTGACTCGGTGCTGGTCAGAGTGGGAGCTGAAGCGCTTACTATTTTACAATAAATACTAATAAAATTCTAGATCTATAATAACATTTCAGATCTCTAAAACAAACCATGTGTTTGTAAAAAAGTGGAAAGAGATCAACTTTAAGCCATAAATTCTTGGTAATAGAGGGTTTTTTTTCTATTTATGTTTGATAGATATTTTTGTTTCCAGAGGAATGTCAACTCCTAATTTCATAATGTATCATGGGCTTAAGAAAATTGAATTTAATAAAAGCCAGAGATGAATGGCATCCTTAAAGGTCCCAACACTTGTCTTTATTAGCAGGACAAACTGCAGGTCTCCAAACACTGCTTCTCTCCAAATGAAAGTTTAAATGAAAAGTACAGTTGTGTCACAGGTTAAATTTCATTGTGGGCCCAGCTAACATTGTTAGTGAGGAGCTGGCTGTATTTGTTTCCTTAGACACCAGGGCAGCCAAACTCACCAGGCTACGGAGGTCTTTCTGTTGGGGAAGTGTTTCTCCTACTTAGCAGCAGAGGAAGGATATATCAGAAATGGGCCTGACTCAGATGAGCCCCACCTCAGGGTTAGCACTTGGAAATCTTGGGTATCTGATTTCAAAATACACATTGGGGACCCAGTGTGTATTTTCTGTGTGTGTGCCTCAGTTCTGTTTTTCAGAGCCAAACTCTCCTCTCTGGCCTACTTCCTAGTGCGGTGGGAGGAGAGGCATTACCTAGTTTAAGCAGCAGCCTGGGCTTCCTCTCTGTTCCCTTCTGCCTCACTCTTACAGTCTTTCCGCCCTTCCTATCTCTGGGGGCTCCTGTCAGCTTCCCCATCTTTGGGGGCACTCCAGGGAGACCAGTCAACCAGAACCTTTGAATTTCTCAGTCATGAAATCTGGCTGCCCTGATTTGTTCTTCAGTCCTGCTGTGATGTGTTGGATAAAGATGCTTTAAAAATGAGGCCAACAGAGCAGGTATGTTTGGTGGGGAGACGCCAGGCTGCCGTGGAATATCAGGGAGATGGGCTGTTTCTCCTTCTGTCTCCCGGCTCATCCATTTCCTTAGTGCAGTCGGGTGTCAACGGCTTCTGTGTTGTCTCTTCAGGCTGTCCCTGGAGAGAGCCAGTTTGCCTTGATTTTAGTGATACTGGAAAGGTCCGCACCAGAACGGGGGACCTGGGATAGGGATGCCACTGGGGCTGACTGTGGTGGCCACTGAGTGGGCAAAGCCCCCCTCCTCTCTCTGCAGTGGAGGCCTTTTTCACATGCTAATTTTACTGGGAGGATTTTGTTTTTTTTTTATTTATTTTTATTATTTCCTATTTGTCTCTTCCAGATGTTTTCAGGGCAGTTTTTTTGTGTTGTAAACTAATTCCATTCATGTTTTAAAAATTTATGAAAGCGCTAATAAAAATGTCAAAGTGGTAAAAATGTTAGCTTTTCCTCTGCTTTGATTAAATTTTGCGAACTGTTTTTGAATATTAAAAAGCACTCATTTTTTTTATTCTCTCTCCTGGCTTTCCCTCTTCTCTCCAGCATGTGCGTGCTCTCTCCGGCCCTCTCCCCACTCTGGCGTGTTCCTCCCTTCCCAGGAGCGATGTATGAGGCGGGCTGCACAGCCGGCGTGCTGCAAGCCTGTTTGCACACCAGGACCTTGGTGCTGTGCATCTCTATTAAATAATGGAGACAAATTAATCTTAGAGACACCAAACAAATTGTCACTCCTCCTTCTCTTCCATTACGTTCCAGTGGACTGGGAAGGGCTGGCTAAGTGATTGGGTTGGGGGGGGCAGGGGGAGAAGCTGAGGGGTGGGCGTACTGCCTGAAAGAAAGGTGGGAGGGCACTAACTCTTATTACTCTTATTCAGTTTTCCTCTTCAGTATCCCCTTTGGCCCCTTTGGCTTTATTTATTATTTATCTTTTTTATTTCCTTTTGTAAAAACTAATGAAACTCATCGGCTCTGTTTAAACTTCATATATGGAAGTCTGTGCATTAGTCTGATGGCTGGTTATTTATGTGACTGGAGACCCAGGCCCATTCCAGGGCAGGGACCTGGGCAAGAGGAAGGGGGTCCTACTTTTAGGGGCTCGAGTGAGCAGGCCTCTGCTAGAGAACCAGTTGGGGAAATCAAGGCAGATGTTCCCACTGTCTTCCCTCCCCTTTCCAGAGACAGTGGGAATGGTATATGTGTCGAGTCCCTGGAACCTGTGAGGATGTTAACAGCGGGAGGGTTAGGATTATAACTGAGCTGGCACCATCTCACTCAATCTTGGGTTTGGCCTGGCAAGAGCTAATGAGTCCAAAACACTCCCCCATTCTTGACCCTGAGTTATTTGAAACGGTTAGTTAAGAAAAACTCATTCCTCCTTTTCTGTGCCTTTGCCGTTCCAGGAAATCATCGAGTTCCCCATCCTGAAGCTAAATGGCCGGACCATGGAGATTGAGTCTACCTTTCACATGTATGTCCAGCCCGTAGTCCATCCACAGCTTACTCCTTTCTGTACAGAGGTAAGGGCCCTGGCTGGGCAGCAGGGGTTGCTGGGATGGGAGCTTGGGGATCACTGGTGCTCTATACTGGCTGCTTAGGTCTTTTCAGTGGTTAAGGCAGGTGTGCATTGGACCCAGTCAGCTTTTTACAAAGCCTGCCACTCCCCTTGGACCAGTGTGGTCATTGGGGGACCCAGGGAGAGCAGTGGCACAATCTGTCCCAGCTTCCCCAACATTTTCCCTTCCTTGTCATCCCTCCCCTTCTTGGTGACCAGGTACTTGGAATTTAGGAGCAGGGTGGTGCCTCTGGGGTTCAGCTTCTTTTCAGTTCCATTTCCCTTAGGGCCCTTGGCAAGAGGTGAAGATTTCAGCTTCTTGGAAGCAGAGGTTATGTTCAGGCTTTCTTAGCTTTCTGGTGATGTTTTTCTGTGCTTGAGCAAAGTGGTCCTGTGTGAAGCATTGGCTGAATTTGTGGGAAGCACAGCGCTATCACTGAGGAAAGACAAGAGCAGTCCAAGTGGGGTATGAGGACAGCCTGGCTGAGGCTGAAATGTCCTTATCCTTATCCTAGGCTGGTTCTGTACTCGGCCACCTTGCCAACAGGTTAGTATGGCCCCACTTCACAGATTGTGAAACCGGGACTAACTGAGATCTTGATGCTTGCTGGAGGCTCAAAGAGCCATCGGCAGAGAGGAGGTGCCCCTGAAGAGTCTGGCTCCCAGGACTCTATGGAGAGGCCTTCTATGGCTGCTTTTCCCTGCGGTGCATTGTGTTATTTACTCAGTGGTAGCCACAAGCTGTGTGTGGTGGAATCACCGGTCAAGTGTGTGTGGTAGAGGTGATGGGAAAACATGAGCGTTTTTGGAATCTTAAGCATTTGGGGTGAGAATACATTAGAGACTTTGTGCCTTCATTTAGAGACCTACTTTCTTCATATGAATGAAACAGGAGGAAAGAAGTTCTTGAGTAATCCCGAAACAATCCCTTTGGTGTGGAAGGGGCTGGGGAAGGGCCTGCCTGCACTGCTGGGGGTGCTCAGTGGGCTCTGAGACTGACTTAGCCCAAATATGAGTCTTAAGGGTCTCTCCAGGGCTGGATGCCAGTGACCCAGGTGGGCCTTTTGTTGTAGGCATCCATCTGCCAAGGTGTCTAGTCTCTCAAGCCTTTTGTTGTTCCAACCAATGATGTTGAGGCTCTTGCTTCCTCTGGGGTCAAGAGGTACATACCTTCCCTCTTTCCCCTGGGAATTACCTATACCACTAGGGGGTGCTAATCTGTCCTGTTTGCCCCTTTTGAAAAAAATCATCATTTTAATGATGATGAAAATCCCCTTCCTTATGGGAAGGGAAGGGAAGACTTCCCTTAAACCAGCCAGATACCTAAGCCCTCCACTGGCCTGAAAGTGTAATGTCCTCTTATCCTTTTCTTCCTCTTCCATATGTGTGACCTCCCCCTTGGGGGCTCCAGTTCCAGCTTGCTGCCTGGCATAGACAGGCAGGCCTAAATTTGGGGAAGTTGCTACTTGTTTAGGAATGGAGCAGAGCGTTGCTGGAACTCAGCCCTGGGCAGGAATGGATGATTGAGAATATTGGGAAAAGGGTTTTTTTTCAGAGCAGGGCTGCTGCTGCTTCTCTTTTGGGGAAGGGGAGGAAGGATTGTGAGCCTTTTTTTTTTTTTTTTTAATTTATTTATTTAATTTTGGCTGCATTGGGTCTTTGTTGCTGTGTGCGGGCTTTCTTTAGTTGCAGCAAGCGGGGGCTACTCTTCGTTGCGGTGGCTTCTCTTGTTGCAGAGCACGGGCTCTAGGCGCACGGGCTTCAGTAGTTGTGGCATGTGGGCTCAGTAGTTGTGGCTCGCGGGCTCTAGAGCGCAGGCTCAGTAGTTGTGGTGCACGGGCTTAGTTGCTCCGCGGCACGTGGGATATTCCCGGACCAGGGCTCAAACCTGTGTCTCCTGCATTGGCAGGCGGATTCTTAACCACTGCGCTACCAGGGAAGTCCCGATTGTGAGACTTTGATGAGAGATGTTTCTTTTTTGTAGAAAGTTTCACCCAAGGACACACATACATAATTTGGAGGGTAGTAGGCTTGGTGGTGTGGGATCCTCATTACGAAGCCTGCTCTGAAGTGAGGCTGTGGCTGTGGCTGTGCTGTAGGTATGGATTCTGCCATTTTGTCTCGGGCTTCCAGAGCTCAGAACTCTCCCTGGCCTGGTCCCTGCCTTTGCATCCAGCCTCAGATCTCCCTGCTTCGTCTCCCCCTCACTTCCCTCAGTCTGCCTCTGCACGCGATGGTCTTTCTGCCTCTGTGTTGCACCCACCCTCCTACTTGTCCTCCAGCACCCTGCTCAGGGTCACCTTCTCTGGGAAGCCTTCCTTGAGCCCAGGCTGGGCTGTGCTCACCCCAGCGTAGCACCAGTCAGATACATTATACTGCAGTCATTTATCCTCTCTCACTAGATTGTGAGTTCCTTGAGGGCAGAAATTAGATCTGATCCATCTCGGTCCCATCCTTAGGGCCTGGCACCAAGTAAAACTACATGTCCCTTGAGTGAATATTGTCAAGGAGTTTTTCAACCACACCTTGCCTCCCCTCAGAGTAGCTGTACTGCTGAGTTGCTCTTTTGAGTAAGTAAAGTCTTCTTTGTAAAACCTCAGATCATCTAAATATTGCCCCACCTTCATACTAGATGGATTGTAATGCAAAGAGAGGCATGGACACGGGACGGGGCTGTCGTTCTGAGACCTCATCCAATCTGGCGGTGGTTGCCTTTGCGGGTCGGGAGGGAGGTCATTATGGCCAGAAGGAATCTTTCATTAGTAAGTGTGAGAAACAAAAACCTCCAGATTTTCCTAAGCAGCTCCTCTGGTAGGATTTTCTCTCTTGCACAAGAAGTGTTTTAAGAACCCTGACTGTGTGTGTACATGCACAAGCACATGCTTGTGTTGGGAGAGAGACAGGCTCAGTGCTGGGCAGTAGGAAGAGGGATTCTGCCTTGAGTGAGTCTGCAGCCCACATGTAGACACTCTTACTTGCTCTGTGTAATGAACATGTTGTTAGCCTTCTTGAGGTCCTTTCTTAGTTCCAGTTGATAGTTGGTCTGGAGACATGGTTCTGACAGAGATAGGATGGGATGTGTTTCTTTCCTTTCCCTACCACCTCTAGAATCAGCTCCAACTCATCAGATCTCTGTCTCTAGCAGCTGGGCTGACCATGTGCAGTCTTTTTTGTTGTTGTTGTCATTGTGAGAAAAAAAAACCAGGAAAAATACCCATTTTGCTAACTGCCAGTAAAGGGCTTTGTCTTGCACCTGTACTTATAAAGGGTGAGATTTATTGGTCTCTTTGTCTGAGGAGAAAGAGTGGGTCTGATTATCAGATTGCACACCAGAGACAAGTGCTTATGTAATCAACAAACTGTCTTGGTGTCAGAATACGATTGTGCTGGAGATAAACTGTGAAGGGAGAAAGCACTGGATGCTGACATGCTATTGGCACCGAGTGGCCTGGGCTGCTTCGTGTAGTTGCCAGTGTTTATGAGGAAGCCAGCTCGTTCCTGGACAAAGCCCTTGTGCGGGAGGGGATCTCAGTAACCAGCCATGTTATCAGTCAGGGTCAAAAGCTCCTCGCCTTGTGGTTTCTGAGTCTGGAGAAGCGGGAGTTAATCTGTAATCCCTCAGTGAAAGGAGCCACAGAGCACACATTAATTCTTCCTCTCACCTCTCCTGCTTTAAGTGGTTAAGGTCTCTGAGCTCTGTTTAGCCTGTGAGCCCTGGTTCTCAGCTTAATAAATACTTGGCTTTGCTCTAGTACCTTTCATTGTGAGGCTGTGAAAGCTTTTTACAAACATATATTAACCCAAGTGGGAATGGGCTTAAAGAGCAGCATGAAAGATTTAGGTTAGGCATAAGGTATAACTTCCCAGTATTTATTTTATTATATTGTCTCTCTTCCTCACAGTTTGTGGTACAAGTCTTACAGGTTGTCAGTATCAGGTACAGGGACTGACTTTTAAGATTTCATTCCCTTTTCATCCAGTGCCTTGGCAGAGCTGATAAGATGTGGTCCATTGTTGGAGGCATTAATGCAGGGGAGTGAGGCCTGCCCCTGAAAGGATCTCCAGCCCCTGTGTCTCTGGGGGTTGAGTTCAAGTCCTTCAGCTGTAAGCCGGAAGTCATGTCCTGCTGGACGTGGTGGTCTGGGAAGCATGGAGAGGGAGGGAGGTGAGCTCACTAGGCTCCTCCCAGGCTGAATGATTCTGGGATTGCTGAGCCCTGGAGAGGAGTGTGAGAGAGCCCCAGGATCCGGGAGGCTCCCACCCTCACCACACCCCACGGTGGGAAGAGGTGGGCCTAGTCTGTGGTGAGAGACCCTGCGGAGCAGCGCTTCGGTTTTTCTTTTCTGTGTAGTGCATTTCCTGGGGCCCAGGGAAGGTGCTTGTGGACCTTGTACACAAGTGCTGACCTAAGTCCCATCTCCACGGAGGGAGGGTTCTTGGCAAGGGTGCCATTGGTTTCCTGTGTAAGCAAGACTTTCTGGAAGCCCTTCAGTGTTCATCTGAGTGACGCTTGGTGGGAGCCAAGAGAAGGAGTAGACCTAACCTTGCCCCAGGAAACTCAGACTGGACATGAGACTGTACACAGACCCTGGGGCTTTCCGAGAAGAATGGCTGTGGGCCCTCTTTTCCAGGATAGTCCTGACCCAAAGCCCCAGCTCCAGGCTTGGGGATGTGACTTGGCCCTGGGAGAACTGAGCAGGAGAGAAGCTGGGCGAGAAAGGGCAGTGGTAGGTGCATGGGTGCCAGCCAGTCATCTGGCTATTGGACCTGGAGTTGGCAACAGGCCTACTCTGGACTCCGGCCCCTGCTTGAGACAAAACACAGGGCCCTTCCTGCTCAGTGTGTGGGTCGGGAAGGCCAACAGGCTCTGGGTGCTGGCTGGACTGGGCCAGGACGGGGCTGCCAAGAAGAACGCAGATTCCACAAGGGCAGGGTTTCCACGCTTTTCTTCACTGCTGGATCCCCGCTTCCTAGAATGGGGCCAAGCCTCTCCAGGAGTAGATGTTGACTAAATAAAAGGAGGAGTCTTAGCACTCCAAGATGAAAGCTACAGACCCTGGGCTCTTCCCCATCCCCACCCCCAGCCCTCAGGGGACCGACCACCTTTTCTTCTCTTTGGCTCAGGCCCTCCCTCTGCTGGGCAGTTCTTTGGTCTCCCAAGCAAGGAAAGGGTGTGGAGGTGCCAGCCGGGTGGGCATGCTGTGGGTTAAAGCCTCGCAAAACAACAGTGTAGTTAATCTTTCTAATTTATTTTCCTTTTAGACCATGGGAAGTCTGTAGGCAGCAGCTGTTACCCAATTAAAATACAGATTAATATAAAAACAGTTTCTGGAATATAAAATAGAGTGGCTGTGTCCTTACACTTCCTTAAAATACCACCTAATAATGACTTGATGAACTACAGAAACCCACCTAGAGGAACTCAGCGTTCTTAAAATGAAAATTTCTTCCCTAAAAGGTGTGTATTACCATTCCATGTAAGTCGCTATGAGAAAATAACCTTCCCTCTTAGAGCCAACGGTTTCTGTGAGTTGGGTATTTGGTATTCATTAAATGTAATTATAGTTTAATTGGAGTTTAATCCCCCCCCCCCCTCACTTAAAAAAAGAAAAGTTTCCAAGCAGGCCTGAGATGCTACTCTGTCTGGAAGTGGCTGGGGGCATGTTGGCCACCATGATTTCCAGCTGGGCCCACGTCTGTGCAGGGGGCCTCCTGCCGCAAGCCTTCCAGGGAGCCTATCTAGTCTGCGCTTGAGGGGTATTTTCCACTTCAAAACAAAACAAAGCAGCAAGCTGGTTTGAACCTAGGCCTGACCTGGGGGGAGCGGAAGCCCTTGAGTCAGAAATTCTCTAGACTAGGTTCGTAGGCTTTTTTGTCTGCTAAAGGTGCCTGTTTCCTGCTTGGCTAGCCGGTATTGAGGGCCCAGGTATGTGGGGTGAAGGGTGGATGCCTGGGGGGCTCCCCCGGCCCATTGCTGGTTTCAGAGGGGTAAGTGCTGGACACCGGCGCTCAGAGAAGGGGTGGACTTGGAACCAAGTGTGCTGGTCCCATGTGAGCATTCCCCGAGTTCTGCAGGAACTTCTGAGAAGCTTGGAGGTGAATTCACTGTAATTCGGGGGGAGTTATTGAGCCTATTGAATTCAGAAGACACATAAAACCAAATTTTCTGCAAAATGAAAGCTGAAACAGGTCTGAGACCCACCCCGTGGTCGGTATGTGGATGTGTACCCCCATCTTGGGGCAGGAAGTTGTGGGGAAACTTGATTCCCAAGGCTTCTGTCAGGTTCGGAGCCTACAGCTGTGCAGGTCAAAGTCTTTACGGTAGAAGGAGAAAAACAGAAAGGAAAGGATCCAGTCCAGCTTGGAGTCCCTGCGCCCTGGTTTTCCACCCATCGGCTCTTTCTCTTTTCTTTCAGCTCACCGGGATTATTCAAGCCATGGTGGATGGTCAGCCAAGCCTGCAGCAAGTGCTGGAGGTAGGTTGAGTGACCTTTAATTCCTGACCTCTGACCCCTTCCTGCTGCCTTCCTCGCCTTCCTCTCCCTCCCCTCTTGAGAACTGTAGCCCTGTAATTTGACTATGATTATGGCTTGATTAGAATAACATTTGCTGTCACATCAGTGACATGCTGTTGAGAGTATTGAACCATTGATCTGTCATCTCCAGCTGTTCCCGTCAGGGTTACTGACGGAGATGTCCGAGTGCCACCGGGGGTTGGTGGAGGCCCCTCCAGCTCCCGGCCTGTGGCTGTGCTGTCTGGCGGCTCCGGCGGCTCGGGCAGCCCGCGCTGGGCGGCTGGGAGTAGGGGAGCCAAGCTGCAGCACTGCGGGCTGGCCCCGGGGACTGGAGGTGTTTTTGTTTAGCTTTAGTGTTGGCTTCCTGTGGCATGTGAGCACTTCATTAACTCACGCAGAACTCCCCATCGATGGCTTTTGTTTGCTGTCAGCTCCTCCAGGAGGTGCGGCCAGCCCGCCTGCCCCACTGCAGCTTGCCGCTGGATGCATCGTGCCTGTCAGGGGTGCAGAGGCTGCGCTGGGTAATGATTCCTAATCAGAATAATTACAACAATTGCCTATGTGAGGAAAATCAAATTAAAGGCTTTAGAACCCTTGGCAGAGACCACACTTCTGGGATGTTCTCCTCCGGGAGCTGGAAAAGGTTAAGACGCTGCTGCTTGTGCTCCAGCCTGAGGGAGTCAGGAAGCGGTGCTTGGCCTCAGCTCATCTCCCACCCCCGCGGGCCTGGGGTTTTCAGAGAGGGAGAAAGGTCCCCCTCCCACTCCCTTCTCTAGCGGGAGAAGAGAAGAGAAAAAGCCTGTGGATCTCCTTAGGTGCTTTATTTATCTTTAAGAGCAATAAACCCAAAGCTCAGCCCCTATATCACAGGAGAGAGCAGAGTGTCTGGGAGGATAGCAGAGCACATCTGCCTCGGAGGTAGTCCACCTGGAGGGAGCAGGGTGCTGGAGAGGGAGGAAGAGCTCTTTCTTGAGCCTAGAGGCCTGTCCCATGGGAGAGAGAAATGCAGACTGAATTTCCTGGGGCTCCTCAGGATGGAACTAGGGCCAGAGAGAGAGGTCTAGGCTCACCCAGTGGCCAAGTGCATTCCCTGTCCCAGGGAGTGTGCAGGCCCAGGCTCTGTGGCTGGTCAGGTTCTTGTGGGGTTGGGAGAAGATGGGCTCTGAGGTGTCTCCCAGCCCCACTGACCCTCTTTTTTGGGTGGGGAGATTCACCCTATGACTAAGGGGGGTCCTCAGCCTGGACTGCTCCCTCCGGGCCCAGACTCAAGGAGAAAGAGGGGACCCTTCCTTCCCTATCTCCCAGCCAGCATCCCAGAGCGAGGCTAAGGGGGCAGGCAGCTTTTCCCTGGAGTGTCTCTGGCTGGGATCCCCGGAGGAAGATGCTTATTCTGGGCCAGCACCAAACCAGCGCTGTCGAGGTTATGGAGTTTTCTCCACAGTGGCGCTGGTTGAGGGGGAGATTGTTCTTCAGAAGGCTTCCTCCTGCTGACCCCAGGCCAACTCTGGAGCAGGATGCTCAGAGGATTCTGAGTCTCACCCAGGAAGCTACTTTCTGCTATTTCAGCATACTTTGGGGGTGAAGAGGGGGAGATTCCTGGCATTGGCCTAGATAGGAAGTCTCCGGGAGGACAAGGAGACCAGACTGGGCTCTACTCTTTCCCATTAGCCTTGAGCTGGTTATAGAGCTGAAGAGTTAGTTCTTGTCCTAAGCAAGGCCCTGAGCAGATGGCCAGTTAGATGTTTGCCTGACACATTTGTTCTAAGCAGGGCTCAGTCTGCATTCCTCTAGACCTTCAATAGCCAGGAGGGCTGGCTGACTGGGGCTTGTCTTGGTGGTCCCTCCAACCCTTTATCCATTCAAACAGGAAGGGAAGGAAAAGGACAGTCCTGATTACAAAAGTATCACTTTCCTGGACAGGCTCGTAGCAGAAGCTGCTCACTAAATATCTGCTGCATGAGTGAATGGCCTCGGCCCTAAGCTTCGAAGGAGCAGTAAGTGCTTCTCATGGTGAAGCCCTGGTCTTGCTGGGCATTTCCTCCTGACAGTCCTGTCCTGTCCTGTCCTGTCCTGCTCTCTTTTCCAGGACCACTTGCAGGAATTGGGGCGTTGGGGAGCCCCCTAGCAGGTGGGGCACTTACCTTGGGGATTTAAGGCCAGTGAACTGGAGCGAGATTAGCTGACTTAGGGACCTTCAGGTTTGCCTTACCTCTTTTCTTATGTAAAGTCTGCCTTATTTTCTTTAGGTGACCCTGGGGAAAGGATGCATGTGTGCGTGCATGTATGTGTGTGTCGTGCAAGGGTTTGGGCCAGAGTGACTGGGGAGACAAACCATTCAGCAGTGGAAGGTCCAGAATTTAGCTGTTGGGGAGACCCTCGGGCTGAGGAGGATTCTCTGGTGTGAAGAGGGTCTGCAGAGTCCAGTACTGAGGAGTGGCCCCGATGTCCCAGGAGATAGGGCTGCTGTGGTCGTGGACCTAGATGGGATCCTTGGCCCTGTTCCAGGACTGCTTCGGCATGGGTCAGGCCTCCCGAATCTCTGCGGTTCCAGGGAGCCCAGGATTACCATGGGCTCTCCATTACCTGCTGGGCACACAAGGCCCTTCACAATCTGGCCTAACCTAGTCCCCCAGCCTCAGTTCCTGCCCTACCTTTCAATCACAGTGGACTCCAGTCACATTATTTCTTACTCACATTTTAATCAAGAAGACACTGTGCTGGGTTAGGGATTAAGACGGTGAATAAGACAGCTAAGAGTCCCTGCCTTTGTGATGCTGATAGTATGGTGGGGAAGGCAGACATTAAACAGACAGTTGCTAATCAGATACAAAATGTCTGTGCCTAAGCCTTTGCCTCTGCCTGGAGTGTCCTTTCCTGTGTTCCGTGCTGTCAAGCAAACTCTTAGTTTTGTCATCAAGCCCTTAGTTCAGTCATCTTTATGAAGCCTTTCTGACTCCTTTCCCTGTAAAAGGTGAGGCTAGCCTCTGCCTCTTCTTGGTCTGATGGCATCCTGGGTACTTCTCCATTGCTGCCTCTATTATATTGTATTAAGATGATCTGTCTTTCTCCCCTTCCCAGCCTACTGTCTATTTTTAGGTAGGCACTTAATACATTATCACATATAATTCTCAAAACAACCCTGTAAGGTTAGTCATCCTACCTCGTTTTATAGATGACGGAAACTGAAGTTCAGAGGGGTTATATGACTTTTAAATGACTTCCCATCAGTGACACAGCCAGGATATGGAAGAGCCAAGGTTAGAACCCAGATGTGTCTGACTTTCAATCCCACGTTTCTAACGACTACGCAATATAGCCTTTAAAAATAATTCTCCTGTGTGAGTGGAACGGCAGTGTGATCTGCCGCACTCTTGCCCCATGCCTAGGATCTTCTGAAAAATAGGCAATGCTTCATGAATTCTTTATGATAATTTTCTCGGTATATACTGATTTTAGTATTTGTACTTCCAGTGTGAGGCAAATAATAAAATGAATCAAAGGGATGAAGGGGAAGAAAGACTTAAAGTGTGTTTAGGATTAGTTTCTTTCCCTGTCTAGGAATTGAGCTCAGCCTTCAGAAGATTCCGCTGAATTTGAATCCCCAACCAGGAGAGGAGAAATACAAATCTGGGGCCAGTTGATGAGCTTCTAGCGACTGGAGCAGGCAGTGCTATCCCAGTTGTCAAGATGGGCCTATAGCCCGGCAGAGGACCCTCTTCTGCTAGACTCATGGTGAAAATTAACTTCACCTTCATTTGGGGAATAACCAAATTAATAAATTTGGTTAGTAGACATTTGGTGGGAGGGTGGAATGAATAAATGAGCGAATGAACCTGTGGATTGGAGTTCCCTGCATGGGGCCTCCTCCCAGCCTGTTCTCGTGGCCCCAGGACAGCCTGTGAGTGTGCTAGGCTGTGCCTTTGTTTGAGGACCAAAGGTATGTGGACTGACCTACTGGGATCTGTCCTTATCCTGTCCAGGGTGGGCTGCCAGGCACTGGGGGAGTGGAGGGGCCCCTGCCCCCCACCACTTGGGCTTGTGGGATCTGCCTGCAGGGATTGTCCTGCAAGGGCCTCCAAAGTTCTGAGTCAAGACTGAGACCCCAGAGTGGAGGGATAAGATTACAATTTTCTCCTGCTCTGATTACAAGCAGCTTATCTGCGTTTCACTGTGTGGCTCTTCACAGACTCAGGGAAAAAAAAAAGGAAAATCTCATCTGTTCTTGTTGTGTACTTTTCAGAGGGTCGATGAGTGGATGGCGAAGGAAGGCCTCTTAGATCCAAACGTCAAGTCAATTTTTGTCACCTGTGGAGACTGGGACTTAAAAGTCATGTGAGTATGAGCAGGACTCCTTTGCTGGCAGGGCTTGGAATCTGCGGGACCAGGTTTTGCCTTTCTCAGGCTCAGATGTCCAAGCCTCAGGGCACCTGGGTCGGGGAGTCCCTGGATTTTGGGGTCAGCAGGGCAAGACAAGGGCTGAGAGCCCTGCCTTCTGCTTCTAGAACCAGGAGTGGACAGGCCAAGTACCCTGCTAGTACTGCTAGTACTGCTGTTGCCTTCTTGCTTTTGCCAGGGCAGCCCATCCTGTTGTGGAGCTACATGTTATTGCCCTGAAAAGAAGGAGGTAAAAGAGGGTCTTAAATTTTCTTCTAAACCAAATACATAGTATTTACTGTTCTAAATGCTTTGGAAATAGTAAGTCATGTACTAACCCTAGGGATTCTTGTTATTCTTATTTTATAGATGAAGACCTTATGGCACAGAGAAGTTAAGTAACTTGCCCAAGAACACACAGAGCCAGAATTCAAACGCAGGCAACCTGGCTCCAGGGTCCATTCTCTTAACCATCATACTAGGCTAGGCTCTTATCTGGGATATGAGGCCCTGACGGTCCCACGGAGAGCCCATTGTGAGGATGAGACAGGGATGCTTCTAGGAAGCTGCCCAGGTCACCAGCCTCCTCTTTCCTCCTTTGTCGCCACTGCTTTTTCTCCTTTGTCTCCTGATCCTGCCCCAGTTATGGAAGACAGAACTGGTTCCTCTGCTGGGTTAACACTTCTGCCTCTTGGATGTCCTCCTGGATACCTGGCTTCAGAGAGCCCCCAAGGAACTAAAGCGGGGTGGAGGTAGTGGGGCACTGTTTGCTGAGGATTGATAGAATCGATACCTCTGTGTTCTTTGTGACTGAAGGTGGCAGCAAGCACTCTGTGTGTGTGTGTGTGTGTGTGTGTGTGTGAGCTTTTGAACATAGGGTAGGGTATTGGCCGAGGTGGGGAGTCGTGGCTCTAGAGTGACATTTCCTACAAATTCAGGCATTACTTTCTCACCAAGATCCTTTTTATGCCTTTCGGATGCTGGGCATTGAGGTGAAGTTCTGCACCCAGGTGGCTGTCAGCCTGCTATTGGACCCAACCTTCTAGGTGAGGCGGGAGGAAGGGCAGGCCTGGATCACATAAGCGCCTGTGCACCTGTCTCCCTCAGCCCTTAGGTCGTGTGCATGCTGACTGCACACCACAGGCTCCGGAGCTCCCATTGACGCTCCTTGTCAGGGAAATTACAGTGGCTGGGCCTGGAGGCAGAGCTGAGTCGGGGGAGGGTTCCACCGAGAAGGTGAGGAGGAGGAAGGCTGTTGTTGCTCTGTTACGGCATCCTGGGCAGCTTTGAGCGCTCGAAGTGGGAAGGGGCTTACGAGGAGCTCCAGCACAGGAGAAGCTGTCTGGGGTGGGGCGGGGCTCAGGCTGACACCCAGAGTTCTGGGGCTCATGTGGCCCAGACCAGAGGCCCAGTTTCTCCAGGTAGCCTTCTGAGACTCCCACTCTCCCAGTGGCTTTCTCTCTTTGATGTGTTCGTGTCCCAAACACCCAGTTTCAGCATCTTCTGTGATGCCTGTGAGTGGTGTGTACTTCTATGTGTATATGAAAGCTTTCCTGTGCGTGATGTTGGGGACCGTCTGGTTGGTTTCTGCATGAGAAGGAGAGGAGATGCCATCTTCCTTGGGTCTGGCCTGTGCTGGCCTACAGCACCAGTTCAGGCCTTGGCACGGTAGGCCCTGGACAGATTTTGGTGACTCGGGAGGCTGCTTTGCATCTTCATGAGAACTGGTGTAATCAAGAAGAGGGATAGGGTTGGGGAATCAAATCACACATAAAAGGAAATCAGATGTTAATGAGCACATACTATATTTCACTCAGTCCTCCTAACTGCCTTCTCGGGTAGGAGGTGGTGTCTCCCTTTTATAGATGAAAAAAACAAAGCACAATTAAAAACTGAGGCTCAAATTGGCAGACTCAGAGGTAGGCAGAATTGAATTCTTGAGGCCACATAGCTTCCAAAAGAGATGATTCTGGCGGACTTTGGTGGCTGGTTTGGGTCTGGCTCGGGAAGGCCAGTGAAGCTCTGAAAGCCAGTGAGCAGGGAGGTGGCAGGTGGCAGGTGGCTGGGGGAGGAGACCTCTGTGCCTGCCTTTTAGAAGCAGGACCCCACATAACTGCTGGGAAGCCTCTTAATTAAATGTGTAACAAAATAAAAACAGCCAGAGAGGAAATCTAAGTAGTGCTGCGTGACGGTGCACAGCTTTTCCGTGTTCCTGGAGCCTCTCGTCAGATGGCTGTCGTCAGAACAGCCACTTTCTCACACGCCTGGTAAAGCCTGCTGATGAGCCTGACAAGGGTGGTGTTAAACTGACACCCACAACTTGTTAGTATGTGGCTCACTTCTTATTTTGACATCCATTTTCAGATTTAACTAAGTCTAAGGAACTCGGCAAATATTTTCATTTCCCACTCTAGTCTCTCAGAGCCATGGTTCCCTCTCGTTGCTGTCCTTCCCCTCTCTCCCAGCCCCCCTCTCCCTCCAACCAGCTTCACATCACTTTTTTTTTTCCACATCAGTTTTGTTGGAGAGGGCCTGATTAGTGAGGCACTGAGAAATGGGGACTGAAGCGGCAGCGGAAATCCCACTGGAGAAAAGAAATCTGCTCCCATCCTGACAAAGTTGTTTTGTGTCCATCTTTGGTCAGTCTGAATGGGTTGACACTCCGGTTTACATGGGCTTTGATGCTATCATTACAGATCCTGCTACGGTGGGTTTTAATTCAGGGGGTGCAGATTTAATTTTCCTTCTAAACCTGTTGAAGAAATGACACTCGTGGTTTTGGCTCTTGGTCAGCTTGCCTTTCCTACCTGACCTACCTTTCCTTTGCCTTACCTGGTGTTTCGTGAAGCTCCTTGTAGAGTTTAGCGTTCTTTCACCAATTTTCTCTCTTTCCACGTACCCAGGCTCTCTGTATTGTCTCTGTGAAGGGCTTCCACCTTCGGCATGGTGGGAGGATAGGGCGGATGCGGAGTGAGGAGTGACACCGGCACAGGTGCTGCCCTTGAGGAACTCAGCTTTTCACCTGTAGCTTGGAGACCTGTGTTTACCAGCTGAATAGCACAGGTAGCTGAGAAGCTAGACCAAAGGCTTTTCCAGTGGCCTGTGGGTCTGAGATCAGGAGGACTGGGGTGTGGGCTGGGAGTGGGGGACAAGGAAGAGCTGATATGAGGGTGGACCTGGTCCTCGGTGCCGTCTGGGAGGGGACCCTCTGGAGGAGAGGGGCAGGATCAGCAGACACCGCTGTGGGGAGGCAGGGCCCAGGGGTCTGCTCAAGGTCTGCTGAGAGGGTCCTCCTCCCCCTCCCCCTCAGCTTTGGAATAGCGAGTTTTCCTGCCATTGGAGGTCGACTGTGTGAATGCGGGCCTGGCATTTGACTTGAGTTGTTTTCCTTGCTTTCCTTGTGAGGTGTGCATACTACACCCCTCTGTTGGTGAAAGTCTGGAGATCAAGAGATACTTGCTCGGCATTTAACATTATTTTGTGTGAGACCATCTGAACTAATTTTGCAACAAAAAACTCAGCCACCTGGGTAGGAAACTTTCTGAAAAAAGAATGATAATTTATTAGAGTGCCAATTGGGGGAGAGCACTTAATACTATGCTGTCCAGCCAAAGGAAATGAGATCTATTCCAATTACTTCAATACTCTGACATGAAGTTTTTTGTGTTATTCTTTATTCATCATGAAGAAGACCAATCAGGAGGCAGGTGGAAGCATCTGTGTGAAAGTCACACCTGAATTCACACTCTTTTTTTTTTTTCAGATGACTGAACCCTTTCTAGACTGCATAGGTTTCCCTTCTTGTTGTTTCAAGTACAAACAAACATGATGTCTCTGATTGAAAAAAAAAAAAGACACTTGCTCATATTACCCTACTCACTGCTTGACTTGGGGGCATGCACTCAGTGGGGACTACTGAGGGTCATGCAGGCAAGACTGTGGAAGAGCAGAGACTGCTGTCACCTGGAGTGAAGTCCCATGGCGGTGGAAGCACCCGCCTGGGGAGCACTGTGGGGCAGGGACTGTCTCGTGGGGCGTGTAGATGAAGGCTGAAATGCTGAGCCGGTGACATGCTTGATGGGGGTCAGTCTGGGCCCTCTTGGCATCATTCAGCAAAGCTGACCACTTCATCCTTCTTGAAGCACTCTTCATTTCTACTTATGTCTCCTGTTTCTCTGACTTTCCCTTCACAGTCCTCTTGGCAGATTCTTCTTTCCTTTTTTCTTAAATTTGGTATTTCTTAAATATTGGTATTTCTTTGACCTCTCTCCTAGCTGTCTTTTCTTTTTATTTGACACACTAACACTTATCAGGGTGATCTAATCTATTCCCCAGCTTCGGTTATCCTCTGTATGCTGTCTTCTCATTTTTCCTCCATCTGAGAAGTGGGAACTGACATGGCAGCAGTGATCCCACTGGAGAAAAGGAATCGGTTCCATCTGCCATCTGAACTCCAAGCCTTCATATCCAGCCCCCGTTCTCTCTCTTACCTAGATATACACCGACCCCTTAAAGCTCAGGTGTTACTCTTCTCCCAACACCTTGTCCTCCACCATTCTCTTAAATAATGATTGACTGGTACCATCTACTCAGTGGTTATGTCAGAAACCTGAGAATCACCCTTGGTTCCTCCCTTTAGCCATAACAAATTAATTGCCAAATCCTATTGATCCTTTGTCCCAGAGGTTTCTCAGAGTCTTTGCCTTCTTTCCAAACCCACTACCACTGCCCTAGTTCAGGTCACCATATTCTTCTTGGATTCCTACGAAAGTCTTCTTTCTCGCTGGTCTCTCTGACTGTCTTGCTTCTTCTGTTCCTTTCTCCTAATTGTAGCAGATTACATCACACCCACTTAGCAGCCTTCAAGGCTTCCCCTTGCCCTCCAGGCAAAGTCACTCTGTTTATTGGAGCTTTCAAGGCTCTTGTTTATTTCTCTTGCCTCATCTCTTGATGCTCTC